GTTATTTCAGGGATGGTTGTTTTATTAAAAAAATGTTGCCTAAAAAAAGAATTGTGCTATCGCAAAAACGTGTTAAGCGGGCACATGTTAAATGAGTAATTACTGTATACTTGTTCGGTCCTTGCTTTGATAAGGCAATTGTCTAAGTAAGGGTAGACAGTGACTCCACATTTCCTGAGAGGTGTGGCGATGACCACTAACACCTTGGAAAATACCCTGGGTGCTGTCGAGAGACCGAAGGGTAGGACCGTGTACTGGTAATGTTGGCAACCTAAGGGAAAATGAAGGAAACGTCTATAAATCAGCTGAATTGATATATGAAAGTATAAAATCCTGCAAGTTGAGAGATGAAAACCAGTCACCAAACTCCAGAGCTGGGATAATGGTGGCCAGAGTGACCATTTTGAATCTCTGTTTTCTTATGTATTTGTTTCTTATGTATTTGTTAAGATCAAAGATCGGTCTCCACCCGCCTGTCTTCTTTTCTACCAGGAAATAGGGTGAGTAGAAACCGGTACTGTGGAACTCCAGGGACACTGGTTCTACGGCCCCTCACTGGAGCAGGTGATCCACCGCTTGTTGTAATATGGTCTCATTACAGCGGTCTCTGAAGAGGGACGGGGTGGATGGCTGGAGAGGAGGGAGGGAGAGGAAAGGGATGGTGTAACCTGCGGAGATAGTTTGTATTACCTACTTGTCAGAAGTAATAGTTTTCCAGTTTTGTAAAAACGGTAACAAATGAAAGTGGAATAGTTTTGATACACTTTGAGGCTCTGAGGTAAGTGAAATGGTTTTCAGTCTCTCAACTGTTATTTCAAATTTGCTTATTGGATTGGGATGAACAGTTGGGGTTGTTATTCTGAGTACGTCATCTTTGCTGTCTACCTTGCCCACAGTGTTGGTACGGCAGGTGGTCTTGCCTCTGGTAATAAGTGAGTTGTGGGTACTTTGGTCTCTGATGTGGTTGGTACCTGAATTGTCTTGGTCTTGTTGCAGATGTTTGGATGCCCAGTGAACGTAGTATAGTCCTGGAATCCTTCACTGACTGAAGTACAGCCGGTCTCCAACTTATGACCACTTCCACTTACGACCATCCGCACTTACGACCAAAGCGGTTGTAAATGCAGTCCCTGAGTTACAAACGCGATCCGTGCTTATGAACAGTGCGGTTACCATGTAACTCAATGAGATCTGAGTTATGAACACTTTGAGTTATGGCCAAGTGTTTGGTCTGCAACTTGTTCGTAACTTGGGGACCGGCTGTAGTTCATTAGTCTTCATAGAGAATAGCTTCTCACAGTTGACCGGGAGATCCTCCACGGCTAGGTGAACTTGACGGAGAAAAGCAGAATTGATCTGTGAGGCCCTTTTCATAGTGACTGCTGTGGCTGTCGTCCTCATGGCTGTATCTGCTACATCGAGGGCAGCTTGTAATGCTATACATGATATTGTTTGCCCTTCAGAGATGATAGCTTTAAATTGTGTCTTTTTATTGTCAGGGATATTTTCAATACATGTGTTAAACTTTGCATAGTTGTTAAAATCGTATTTACTGAGTAACACGGTGTAGTTCACTACTCCTGTCTGAAGTGTAGCCGAAACATAAACCTTTTTGCCAAATTAGTCAAATCTTTTATTGTCCTTCTCAGATGGAGTGGATCGGTTCTGCTGCTTATTTCTTTGCTGTGCAGCATCCACTATAAGGGAGTTGAGCAGAGGGTATGTAAAAAGAAACTCAGAGCCCTTGGAGGGGATAAAATATTTACGATCTGCCTTTCTGCATGTGGGTGGGATGGAGACAGGTGTCTGCCATAAGGTTTTTGCCGGTTAAAGTATGGCTAGATTGATAGGTAAAGCTATCTTTGCAGATGGTGCAGTTTGGAGGATGCTTGTAAGATCATGGTGAGAGTCTTGCACCTCTTCCACGGCGATATTTAAATTGGTTGCAACTCTTTTAAAAAGGTCTTGAAAGGAAGAAACATCCTCCACGTTGTTAGAGGATGGTGGTAGGATTGCCTCCTCCATGGTAGAAGGAGAGTTAGCCTGAAGTAAAGTTGCAAAAGACGAATGAAGTTATTTGGTCAGGCAAGTGCGAGGTTTCACCATGGCTACGTCTACATTACAAGTTTTCTCGGCAAAAAAAATATGCTAATGAGGGACTCATTTACATGAGTCGCAATCTCATTTGTATACTTTCTGTTGATCCATTTTTGCGCTAGGGTTTTTGCGCGAAAACAAGCAACGTGGACATTTTCTTTTTCTGCAAAAACCCCTTTTCCCACAAGATCGGAAAACCTCCTTTTTTGGGAAATATTAGCATATTTTTTGCAGAGAAAACTCGTAGTGTAGACATAGCTCATATGTTTGGATTTAAATGGCCTCTTCCTATGTTGTTGTTGTGGCCATTGGTTCCACATTTGCCACTGCTGGGGGTAAATCATGGGTGGAGGCATCCATGGGAATGGAGCCCAAGAAGCCATTTGTGTTGGGATGAAATCTGGTTGCTCAGGGTTAACTGGCCCTTCTGAGTGTGGAAATAGTTGTGGTGAAAACAAAGCCAAGGAGAAAGCTGTGGTGAAAACACAGCTAAGTCATCTCTCTCTTCCATTGAGAGGGGGGAAGGTGATTCTGTATAATCAGAAAAAGGAGAGTGAGGATATCTATTGTCACTCAAAATAGGAGATTGGTGTGTAGAAGAAATTGCTATGTCTTTAATCTCCCTGTAGTTCATGAGGGGAGTATGTGGGAGCTGTGCTGTCACTGAGTATTGCAGTGCTGAGAGAGCAGAGTTCGCGGCAAGAGGGGTTGCCCTGACAATGAGGGGGAGGGCTGGTACCAAGTGGCTGCCCTGTAAGCCCTGTGAAAGGCTACAGTGCCGTGCTGCGGTCCTGAGGCGTTGCTGGAGCTGGTGCTGAGGCAAGCGGCGTCCTGCTCGGTGCCTCATTGTTTGAGGCAGGCATGGTGTGGCCTGTTGCCTCTGAAGGGGCAGCTGTTTTCGCACTTTTTTGTTTGATGAGCAGTTCTCCGAGATACCTGGGCAGTCAAAAGTGCTGAGGCACATATTGGAGGGATCCAATTGCCTGTCAGCAGAGTGCCTCTTAGGAGAGTAGCTGAAACAAAATACAGGACTATGTAACACTTTAAAGACTAACAAGATGATTTATTAGATGATGAGCTTTCGTGGGCCAGACCCACTTCCTCAGATCAAATAGTGGAAGAAAATAGTCACAGCCATATATACCAAAGGATACAATTTAAAAAAATGAACACATATGAAAAGGACAAATCACATTTCAGAACAGAAGGGGGATACAGGGGAGGGGGGGGAAGGAAGGTGAATGCCAGTGAGTTAATGATATTAGAGGTGGGGAAGGGTAAATGTATGTGGGTTAATAGTATTAGAGGTGATAATTGGGGAAGCTATCTTTGTAATGGGTAAGATAGTTGGAGTCTTTGTTAAGTCCCCTGCGGAGAGTGTCGAATTTTAGCATGAATGCCAGTTCAGAGGATTCCCTTTCAAGTGCAGATTTGAATGTCTTCTGAAGTAGGATGCAGGTTAGCAGGTCATTGAGACAGTGTCCTTTCTGGTTGAAATGACAAGCAACTGTTTTTTCTTTGTGATCCTGTCTAATGTCTGTTTTGTGGGCATTGATTCTTTGGCGAAGTGTCTGAGATGTTTGTCCAATATACATAGCAGATGGACACTTTCGGCACATAATAGCATAGATTATATTTCTGGAGGCGCAGGAATATGTATTCTTGATCTTATAACTCACTTGGTTAGGCCCAATAATGGTGTCAACAGAGTGATTATGTGGACAAAGCTGGCAGCGGGGTTTGTTGCAAGGGAAAGTACCACTGTTGGTATTAGTGTGGTATGTCCTGAGGCAGTGAGCTTGCCCGTCTTTTTGTGGCTCCAGGGGGTTTATCCCTTTTTGCCATGTTAATTTGACCTGAGCCCAGGTCAGAGCCTGAGCTCTCTATCCTTACGTGCCCATGCTTTAAGCTTAGCACAATGTGGGCAGTCTTTTTGAGAGTGCGAGTTGCCAAGGCACTTGACAGAGTTTACACGTCCATCTGAGGCTGGCATTGCCTCATTGCAGAGTGCGCAACATTTGAAACTGGGAGATCCCAAGCCACGGTTATGATCAGACAAACTGTCCACGATTTGAGATTTGTTTTTTTTTAAAAGCTATAAGTAACACTAAGCCAACACTAAACAAACAGTAAGAACCTAATACTAAGCTAACTAGAAAAGTAAAATTGCTATAACAAGATGAAGAGAAATGAGAGCACTGAAGAGTTCCATATGAAGCCAGGGACGGTAGAAAGGAACTGAAAGGAGGGGGGGCGTGCATGCGCAATGGCACCAGGGCGCGCATGCGCCACACATGCACAGCTCCCAATGTATTGCTAGAGAAAAATCTGTCGAGAGGTGGAGGGACATTCAGCACCTAATGTGGAGCACCCCCAGAGACACCCCTCAACAAATTATCATTATTATTATTATTATTATTATTATTATTAAGACTGAGAAATTATGCAGCTTTTCCCTAAAGTATTGAATTACAATTCACATTTTATACACTTATAACATTTTAACTCTCCTGCTTTCTTGGCCTTCTGGAACTGTCAGGTTTTTAAAAAATATATAATATGAATTAAATAAAATCAGATTACAGAGTCAATGTTGGATCACACTGAATTATTTCAAAAACGTATTTGAAGAAACCACACCAATTCCATACATTTTTAGAAAATATTTAAAATACTTCTTTCACTGTTGAAAGGCTTCTTCCTTTCTGAAAGTGAGTTTGAGAGACATTCCCTATATATAAACAGGGAGTATCATTAGAACAGGGAATCTCTCTCAAAACTAGAGTAACTTTTCACATGAAACTTATATAATTACACTCACACACATATATAATTACATATATATGTGTGAAATAGTTCTTCGTTCTGGAGCTAATCATATGCAATTATAAATTCTGGCTTACAAGATTTCCCTCCAGATTTTTCAGCTGTTGGTTAATCTCTTTAAGTCGATTTTGTTGCTCACGTTGCTCACGTGTGTCTCTCAAGACCTTCTCACCAGGAATTGCGTTCAAACTTCTGTTTGCATAAGCCAGAGATTCCTGACAAAAAGAAGTGGACACAGCTAAAACATCTTATTCAAATTCATGCTTTAAAGTGGCAAAATAGCTAAATAGACTTTTACAGAAAAAAAAGTAAGAGAACACAAAAATTTATGTATAATTGGTTAGTTTCACATTTAGGTCAATGTGTATAAATCATATTTAAATATCAAACAGAATTTTTTTCCAAAAAAGGTATTCATTAACTCTTATCAATTCTGTAATCGAGAAGATTAAACATTCATAGTCAAGATTTTCATTCTAGGAGTGTTTCTACAAAATATTTAACAGTGGAGGGAGGACTTTTCAGCATCTCAGTTTCAATAGTTTTTCTTCAATACAGCCTTTACACAGTGGATTTATGTGGGAACATGTGAGACAATGCCAATCCTCTACGCCCTAGCAAAACCATCAAGCACATATGCAACTGGTCTGCAACCATTACTACAAAGCAAAGCTACATGATTTCACAAATATTCAGCAGTCTGGGACCAGATTCAAATGTTTCTACACAGTGAATATTATTCTTGAAATCAACTGGACTATTTGTTGGATTAATGTAATATTGAACAAAAGACCAGAATGGAAGCTAGTCTACTGGAAATGCTAAATGCATTTGACAATATCTAATTATCTTTAACCCAAAAGATTATGTCCAACTGTTTAAATGAAATCCTAGTCCAATTAATCACTCTTGTTTTAAAAAACAACTCATCCATTCCTGATTAACACACACTCTTGAGTAAAAAAAAAACTACCATATTTAACTGGAAAAGGGAAAGGTTTTCTAAATTTAATAATTCAGATAAAAACTTTTCAGCATACAGGCTACAGTTTATAAAAAATGTGGTAATTTTAAAACAATGTATTTTCTGGCCAAAATGCATATGACAAATAAATGACTGTGGGGCTTTAAACCATAACACCAGAGGATCATGCAGTATGAAGTTTATTTCTCAGAGTGACTATTTGAAAGTGCGAAGGCCACCACAATGGCTCCCAGTATCACAATTCTCTCTATTTCTGTACATAAATTCATTATACCAGTGTATGATCTTCATATTTTCAATATGAATGTAGAACTGTCTCAGGGAACCAATAATAAAGATTAAGTTACTCCTCTTCAGGCATGGCATTTACTGGGAATTGATATAAGGCTTTTTTCATCTCCACTGATTGTGATGTAAGAAAACCCATTTTTAAAAATAAAAAAAACAGTGACTTTACATTTTCTTACAAATTACACCTGTTTCTGCAATGAAGTCAAATTTCTAAATCCACCTTCACAATCTGCATACTTGCAGAGATAGTGTCAGTTCGATGGGTACCATTTAGTGTGATTACAGCTGTGATTATTATTTGTTTAGAAAGTAAAGTGTTATAAGCTACAGATATATATATATAGAGAGAGAGAAAACAGTGGTACTCCAAGATCACTAAATGTATTTCCCATTCATTTTGCTTCACTGTTATTTTATATTGTGTTTTGACTACATGGATGGCAGGTGGATACTTTTATATGAATTGAGACTTCAATGAACAGTGTTCAAATTGACTTTTGAGGGGCATTTTTAAGTTGGTATAATTAATAATAACTGTATTTTGTGGTATTATTAGCGGTGTATATTATTTTTTATTTGCAAACTGTGTCAAAAACACAGGAAGTAGAGGTAAGGGTCAAAGAGTGTTAGGTACTGGGGAGCAAGAGACTGGTTTGGGGCTAGGGCTTAAAGGAGGAGGGCTGGGGTTAAGGCAGGTTTAATAATACAGAGACAATAAGTACCAGGGTTGGCTGGGTGGGGTCAGAGGGTTCTGGGGTTGGAGGTAGAGGGATGTGCAGTGACAAGAAAGGGTCAGCGGGTTGGCAGACAAGTAACATTTTATTTGCATATTCATTATTTGCACAATTAATATGCAAATATGCAAATAAAATCACACGGGTCCGCCAAAAGCCTGCAAATGGGTTTGCCGATCCGCAGTATAAAAAAGGTTGGGAACCACTGCTCTAGGGCATTGCACAGAAGGCAACCACCATCCTGCAGTAATCTCAGCCCTTTATAGAAATCACCTGACCCTTTCTCAGCTGGGTCTGATAACTGAATGTGGCTAGCTATCCCTGGACATCCAACCCTTAAAGAGGCAGACAACCTTGTTACATAACTACACCTTCCCATTTTTAATTGAGAATGGGATGGTGGGCTAAAAAAATAGCATATTGTTTTTTAAAGTGCCATGAAAGTATGTTAACAGTTGCATATAGTGAGATGCATCAGAAAGACAACAACATAGAAAGAACTTGTAGTTCATATATAAAGTAAAGTTTGGGAAGAAGTTACATTAAAATAGCAAATACTTGAAAATGTTCCAAATTATCACACACATTTGCCACATCATTTCACCAGAATGCTTGATGCAACACATTGTTCCCAAAAAGGATCTTAGGAAGTATTTATGCCAGTTTTAGGTTTCTAGAAATAAATAAAATAAGCAATTTATTTTGTTAGAAAAACAGGAAATGCCATGAAAAAAACTGAAAAAGGTATCAGAAGATATTCCAGTTTGTACTGAAGAAGGATCAGTTGCACTGTTGCTTTAGTTATTCTATTTTAAGAGATCACAGAAAACTCAAAAGCACAGATGTTTCTTTTTTGTATCCATAGTGATTAAAAATATACCAATGCAGATAAAAGAAAATAAAGTACAATGGAGAGAATGAGATTAATATAGATACAGTCCTAAACAGTCGTATACCCTGAAATCGTTTAGTGTAACATGAAATATTACACTCTATTGTCACATATTTAAACCTAGTTAAATTTAGTATGTTTTACATTAAATAACAGCATCTGATAGCATGCTTTATACCGACATCCTGCATACTGAAATCATATCTTAGCTCTACCAGCAAAATACACTTTTTCAAGAATGAAAAAGTAGCATTTGGGACAGAAAACAGTTCTACTTCTATGTGGGCAGTGGGAGATGTCCACCTGAAAATCTAACTTTGCAAAAAAGAATCATTCAAAAAATGTTTTACTCCATTCTTTGAAACAAAACACTTCTCTGAACATTCCAGCTGCATGGTGCATAGTCCCAAGCTCCACTGTGCTCCATGCAACATTCTGAAGTAGCCACATAAAAATGAACCTCCTGCTCGGACACAGCAAAATTGATTTTTCCCTGCCTCTTATGAAGATACTTGTTAGACCACTGGAAAGCCCAGTGGATGGGAGACAGGTGATGTAGATTCAATACTTGTAATAATTCTGTAGTATTTTTACTAAAATAACTTTATACCCTTCACAATCCTCATTACTGAAGCAGACCTTTATCCTCCTACCTTAGAAGGGAGACAAATATTAGCCCCGCTCGCCATTTTACAGAAAAAAATAACCAGAAGGTTAAACAAGGTGGTTTCTCACTCAGTTGAAAATAGAACCCCAGGGTGAAATCCTAGGCCCACTGAAGTATATGGGAGTTGTACCATAAACTTCAACGAGGCCAAGTTTTCACTTTAGGTTTCTAAAAATATGTCTACACTAGAGAGAAGATCAAAGCTGCCATTGTCAATCTTCCAGGGTTCAAATTAGCGGGTCTAGTGAAGACACGCTAATTCGAACAGAGAGGAGCACTCCGGTCGATGCCGGTAGTCCTGCTTCCATGAGAAATAAGGGAAGCTGGAGGGAGAACACTCTCCCTTCAACTTCCTGTAGTATGGACAGCACCAAAAGTCAAGTTAAGGTACTTCAACTTCAGCTATGCAATTAATGTAGCTGAAGTTGCATATCTTAATTCAACCTTATCTCATAGTGTAGACATACCCTAATATGACAACTCCTAGTCTCATCTACTTTGCCACATGACCTCTCAAAAGAATTTATCAAATCTGTGTGCTTATCCTGAGGGTCTGCTACATGGGAGCCACAAGGGAGCCACAAGGCTTGTGGCCCACTTTGAGAAACGCTGCTGTAAGCTATTGTAATATCTCCTTGGCAGTCAGTAGCGACTTCAACAGTATAACAACGAAACCTCTGAAGATTCCATCCAGCTGCTCAAAGCTCGTCCTGTTGATCACACAGTGCACTCACCATTCCTTCAGAGCAACTCACCGTGCTCTATCTCACCAGGAGACAAACTTGTTGAGAACCTCTGGGCAAGGCTAAAAGGGGTAAAAAACAAGTGTGATGTCATTATAGAAGTCTACCATAGCCCACTTAACAAAAAAAAAAGGGGGGATGAAGCTTTTTTGAACAGCTAGCAACATCACCCAAAACACAGGAGCTGGTGGTAACTGGGACTTCAACTATCCAGACATCTGCTGGGAAAATAACACAGCAAGGCACAAGTTGTTAGAAAGTATTGGAAAATACTTTGTTATTTCAGAAAGTGGAGAAAGCCACCAGAGGGGAGGCTGCTCTAGATCTGATTTAAAAAAAATAGGAAGAAACTGGTAGAGCACTTAAAAGTGGAAAGAAGCTTCTATGAAAGTGATCATAAAATGATAAATTTCACGATTCTAAGGAATGATAGGAGGGAGAACAGCAAAATAAAGACAATGGATTTCACAAAAGCAGACTTTAGAAAACTCAGAAAATTGGTAGTGAAGAGCCCATAGGAAGCAAGTCTAAGAGGAAAAACAATTGAAAACAGTTGGCAGTTTTTCAGAGACACATTATTAAGGGCACAAAAGCAAATTATTCCACTGTGTAGGAAAGATAGAAGAGACCATCCTGATTTAATCTAGAGATCTAAAATGATCTAAACATCAAAAAGAGGCCTACAAAAATGGAAAAAAGGTCAAGCTACAAAGGATGAATAAAAATAAATAAAAAATATATAAAGGTGTAAAATTAGAAAGGCCAAGACACAGAATAAACTCAAACGAGCTACACACATAAAGAATAACAAGAAAACATTCTACCAATATATTAGAAGCAAGAGGAAGACCAACGACAGGGTAAGACCATCACTCAATGAAAAGGAAAAAAGAATAATAGAAA